CACAGAATTATCTCCTAATTTCATAATTGATTATAGGAGATATCAAGATAATAATTTATGTTTTTAACAATCTTTACTCATTAAAGTACTAACAGACTATTATATTAATGCAGTACTTTGTAATCACACTTGATGGATACACAGTGGAAATACTGTTCTGGTGTAAATGTGGCAGGTTGTCTAATCAGGAGATGATGACTTGTCATTTCATCACAAATAAATAAAGTATATGTTCTTTATCTTGACCTGAGGAGACCATCTGAAATTCTAGTCAAACCACATCAAATAGAAGACTTGAGGGCAGTTGTACTCTGAAGTAGGTATTTTGATTAACAATTTTACTTCTACCTGCGTACTTGTTTTTGCAGAGTGCAACAGTACAGTAGAGAACAGTTGGGCTGCTCTACCCACCTCTGACTTTAACAGGCCTGTAGATGATGTGTTGCCAACAGACAGACGTCATGTTGAATAAAAATAAATGTTTTCTGTGTTACAGTTTTGCTGTTAGCAACATGCCTGTCATGTGTTAACATCACGTTTGGGACATTTTGGTCACAGCTTTCAGTTGTTTTGAGAAACAAACACACAATCAATAAATAAATTTATTAAATATCCTGCTGACATTTGACAAACACAGAATATTTCCTGGTAAATATGATGTTTTTATAAGTTGTTTATTTTCACACTTCAGACTTCAACGGAGTTTCAGGCCGAGAGCAGCTTCCTCTTTCTGCAGTCTGTTTTCACAGGATCTACCTAATTTCCTGTGGCTTGGTTGTGTATTGGCATCTCTGTAGCAACCAGGAAACACATAGCAGAAGAAGAAGTACATGCAACTCTATTTTTCCACTGTGCCACAATGACTATTCACACAAACTGCACTAAATATATGAACACGACTCTGAGAGAAAACCAGTCAGCTGCACAGGGGGACATTTCACACAAGGTGTTTAAATAATAAAAAACAATGAAATGAGGTTTCTACACTAGAATCAGACTTTTGTTTTCAACAAAGTCCAGAAAAAGAAGTCTCCTGAAACAGTTTGATCAGAATATCCTGATCCAGCAGTTATTGATCAGGAGGAGGAAACGTGATCAAAGATGGCTCCTCTGAGAGACACAAGATCCTAAATGACAGTCGAGGGGAGACTCTGCTCAGGAGACAATCTGTGACTGAAGGAACAGGTTTTATCTTGGATTGATGAGATAAAAGGAGTTAAAATGTAAATATATGCAGGTTTGGTGATGGTGTGCATGCAGATGTGTCGGCCAACTACGTACCTTAGGCTACATGGTTGTTCTGTCTGTTAAAAACAGGTTACAGGTTTATTGTTGATTATGCAACGTCACAGTTTTATTTATTTAACGTTACACTGGGTTTAAGAGTCTGGGGAAAGTTTTGACTTACAGTATTTAATAAGCCGTCAACAATTGCATTGCACATTACATGGTTGTGCTCTGTAAATGAAATCTGGTTTGCAGATACAGAATTCCTTATAGCTCTGCAGTTTATAAGCAACCTGGATTGAACACAGCAGGTGATACAACATTCGTAATAACCACGAGAGACTTGAGACTTGACTTGGACTCTAGCTCAGAGACTTGAGAGCATCTCTGGTAGATGGTCCTTCTGTCCAGTAGTTGCAACACCCCTTTGCCTCAGTTCACAAACAATTTTCTAAATAAAGTAAGAAAACATATCATGCAGGTCTCTATAACTCATGTTAGTATAATCCTTTGAATGTTTAACGCATAAAGGCCAAATATAGTGGGCCACACTTCTCAAACAAAATAAATGAACATCCCTTCTAAATGCATCACTCCAATACAGAATACATTATATTATTATATTATATATTATTATATATTAATTATTATATATAGAACTTTCGCAGTCTGAGCTAAGCAGTCAACAAAACACAGGCCATCAAAGTTAAAGCAGAGGCGAATCATGTTAGTATAGGGCTTGTAAATGTGTCAGGCAGTCAAACAGTATCTATGAAGGCCCCCCAAGAACAACAACCAGTTGCTTCCAGACTCATTTTCTTCACATTTTTCTCATTCTCATACTATAAACTTACCTTTATGGAACATCTGACAAACACAGCAACAGAACAGACAGGACTCCTGTATCCTGCAGCAATTTGTAAATGTCACAGTTATTTAAGTGAGTGTTTTATTATGGAGGTACAGCTGAATGGACCCCAGTCAGCAAAAATATTGCTGATGCAGACCCAAATAAAGAGAACTTTCCAATAAAGAAAAATTGTGTATGCTGACAGTTAAAGTTCTTAGAAGAAAGAAAATCAGAATCGTCAAGTAGATCTTTGAAAAATTAGTAATCGGACAGAAAAAATGTAATGTTGCATCTCTGCTGACTTTAGTAGCATGCTATATGACTCCTTTAGTCTGAAGACTAAAGATTCAACGTTGTGACAATATGTTTTCTAAAAATGATGCAAACTGAGAAGAACTTAAATTAATCTGATATTTCCCCACTCACTCTGAACAGAAGAGAAAATGTTTCC